AAAATCACAACTAGAACTTGAAACATTCTAGAACAAAGCTACTAGGGCAGTCCAATACTCTTACCTAACTACTTTTTTCTTTTTAAATTTAGACTCCAATGATTTTCATCTTCTTTAACATCTAAAAATGGATAGCTTGACTTGTTTTGTTTTGTTTTGTTTTCTTGGTCTTTTTTGAGACAAGGTCTCCCAGTAGCCCCAACTGGCCTGGAACTCACTATGTAGACCAGGCTGGCCTTGAACTCAGAGATCCACTTGCCTCTGCCTCCTGAGTGCTGGGATTAAAGGCATGAGCCACCACGCCCGGCAATTTGTTTATTTTTTACCTCCAAGGATCCATGTTCTTCAGTAGCAAAGGGGAGAAGACTTTCATAGAGTTTTGTGAATGCACTCAATCCTGTCTCTATGATCTCTGCTTCTATGCTGGGATCCAAAGGCTCAGTCTCTGTGAAGTCCAGTTCCCACACTGTGTCGACCCATTCTAAGGAGAAAAATGCAGTAAAATTAATGAGTGCTCTCAGGTAAGTAAAAAACAAATTAACTTTTAAACTCCAGGTATAGTCTACAGAAGTAAAGTCACAACTCACATCTTACAGGTGCAGTATAATTTAAGGAAAGCAGTGAAAGTTAAGAAAACCTTTGTTTTAAAGACAGGCATGGTAGCTGAGTACAATCTGAGCACTTGGGATGCTGAGGCAGGAGGACTGTCACAATTTCAAAGGCTATGCAGGGTCACATAATTCTAGACCAAATTCAACTGCAGAGCAAGACCCTGTCTCGAGCAAAAAGAAATGAAATGAAAATAAGAGGGCCTACTAGGTTTATCATCCAAAAATATCAAGAAAAAAACCACTTTTTTAGAAATACCAGCTTCAAAGAATGGCTCTTGAACAAATTAACGATCAAGCTTTCCCATAAATTCTATTGAAAAGTCATGTCCATCAGTGACGGCTTCAGACGCTTCTCTGAAAATCTCATAAGCAAGTTCATAAACCCAAATAAAACACATGGCACTTCACTGGGCCCTTGGGTATAGCATAGCATGGAGACACCATTTCCCCCAAGAAGTTTAAACTAGAGGAGACAGACCAGGCTCATGCAAAAACAGTGACTCCCTAGCAATGTAGGTTACCCAGCTATACTCCCCCGCAGGCTCTCAACTCTAAACCGAACTCGTATTTTTCTAACCATGCATTTTTCTTCGGTGCTTTCATTTTTATTCCTCAAAATCGAAAATTGGGACTAGATAAATATATGGACATCTCAAATTATTAGTCAGGTATATCTCCAAATTAATATTCTTTACTAGTTCACCACAGATTTAAGAACTTGAGCAGAATATGAATATAACAAAATGAAAGAGCTGGGAGTCCTCCACCTTTGCTTCATGGCCCTCAGTATTACATTGCACTCGGCAAATGGGCAGCAATGCAGCTAACTAGATCCATCCTGAGAATACAATCTGTATATCATCTTTTGCCACTTGAGGTCAACCCTAGAGGGAATTTCTGTGCCTGTATTAGTCACTTTTTTGTTGCTGTGACAGAAACAATAACCAAAGCAATACTGTAAATGGAAGGATTTATTTGAGCTTATCGTTAAAGGGAATTACAGTCTGTCATGGCAGGGAGGCATGGTGGCTGGAGGTGGCTGGAGCAGGAGCAGCAGAATGAAGCTCTCACATCATCACGCAGGCACAGGAAGCAAGAGACCAACTGGAGATCTGGCAAGGCTTAAGAACTCTCTAAGCCCACCCCCAGTGACATGCTTCCTCCAGGATAACCACACCTTGTAAAACCTCCCAAAACAGCGCCATCATCTGGGGACAAAATGTCCAAATACTTGGAGGCTATGGGGGACATTTTCATTCAAACCACCACAGCGCCCCAAGTGCTGAAGGAAGGCCTGATGGGGCTGGGAATGTAGCTCAGTAGTAAAGCCAGGGCCAAATGCTAAACCCTGGATTCTACCCCTAGAAAACTGAAAAATACAACTGTCCCTCTCTGTACTTCCGGAAATGTTTTAATGCTCATTATAGACATTATAGGAGCAAAAGTATCCTTCTCCCTATTGGGGTTTTGCTTATGACATACCTCATTTAAAGATGTAGGTAACATGACATCAATTACACAAGGTAAGTGTTCTTCTATTGGGAGTATTTGAGATGTCAGACAGGTAAAGTATCGCCCTCAAAAAAGGGGTAAAATGAACAAAGTACATGATATACGTGTATGAAAAAGTCATAAGGAAACCTACAATGAATGTACAATGAATATATGCTAATCAAAAGAAAAGAAAAAATTCTAGTGTCAGGTAACGTAGTTCCTATAAATAACTCTTATTTAGCATTAGATTTTTGTCAAATCATTTAATTCTCTATACAAATCAAATCCCTTAAGGACTTTCTCAACTGTCAAATGGAGATGATTCCCATTTTTATTAATTTCATTTAAGTATAAAGAAGAGAAACAGACCACTCACTTTTCAACATTTTAAGAAAACAGAAGATGAAGACTTCATAGGTGCTAGATACATACAGATAAATTCACAAAGACTAACGTCTCACATTTTAATACTGTAACAACAACAAAACCCAAAAAAAAAACAAAACAAAAAAAACAGCATACAGTAGAAAGAAGTCCAACTTTTGAGCTAATATGACTACTTACACACAACTACCGTATTCATCATCAGCTTCATAACATGATTTTTGTGAAAGGCAAAGCACATGAGAGGCCAAAAAATGCATGAGCCACACAAAAGACTCTCATTGAATAATAATTATTTTTATAATGGGTGGGTGTCAACACAGTGATGGATATATAAAATGTGTAATACTGGAATAAACAGGAACTATGACTGGGGGTATAGAGGTACAAGTGAGGAGGATGACTTCGTAATTGGGTCTAAACACGGGAGTTTGTTAGGGAAAGAAGTGAAGAACATACAGGATAACAAAGCACAAGGGGAACATGTACCTCTTAACTGTTTGGAAATAAAATAATCTCAACATAGAATGTGAGTTGGGGGAATCAGAATCACCATTGGTATTTGTTCATCAGTTACTATATACCAGGCACTAAGTTCATCTTTATAAAAACCCTGTTGTATATTTATAAACCGCATCTGACAGATAAGGAAATTTCACTGATCAAGGTTAAGCAACATGTCCAATGAGAGCTAAATACGTAAATCCAAGCATCTGTGACTCAAAAGGTAATGCTCTTATAAAATCGGACTGGAGAGAACCAGGAAACTTTTGCTGTAGAAGGGCTAGGCCTAGGTTAAGGGGAAGCAGGAGAATCTTGCCCACCACTGCAGCCTGCTTTCTGATCAGACAGCCTCAGGGTAGCACCTCTCCATGAGTCACTCCAAGCTGGGCAAGCCATCTCTCCCCCTTGTATGCTTACTGCAGGGGAGAGATGTACAGAGTATATTCTGGGGGAAGAATAATTACCTACCCTGAGTAAGCTTAATCTTTTTAACATGCACCACTCTATCATTTCTGATTTCAGTGAACTGTTGACTCTGGCCTTACAGCCTTGAAGAGGCTTGAAGAGATCACAAACACTGAATTTGTCTTCCTGTCAACTTTTTCCCTAGGAATTCTGACTGGACACAAATCTTGTATTTGCTTTCCAGTGACCCAGACAGGCCCTACCATGTGTTTTCCCCTTTTTGTTCACCCCTCTGTAGTGTTCTAGCACCATTCACATCCAATTTACATGTCTCCAATTTACATGCCAATTCAGAGCTGTCACAGTCTCACCCAGCTCTAAAAGATCACTATGGGGGTCAACAAAGTTTCACTATGGGGGTCAACAAAGGCAGCCCCATACCAGTCCTGAAGTCCCTGCTGATTCCTTCTTAACTCTCCTGTGAACAGTCCTTTTCAGCCTAATGGACTGGGCATCAAACATGTTCCTTCTCTTGCCCAATTCATTCAGTAATGCCGGTACTTTCTCCATTGTCTTCCACTCCCTGACATTCAGGGAGACTCTGACCGGTGACGACCAACTAACTGTCTCTACTGGCTTGTATGAGCCAGTCTACCAAGGACTGATTCCCCTCCTATTACCTCAGATTATGCAGCCTTTGTCTCAGTGAGGGAGGGGCAGTTATATTACCCCGTTTCTCTGCTTCTGTAGCACTCAGACTGATCCCATCTGCCCCTTGTCCCACAGTCTCACAAGCCAGGCTGAGAGAGCTCTTTCATTGCTTGTCTACAAATCCTTCCCAATTCAAGTAATTTAGACACAGAGTATTCCCTGATTCTATTTCCTATACTGGACCATTATTAAGTCCCCCACTTGCATGCTGACTTATGGGTTTCCACTTCTTTTGAATTAAAACCCAAACCTGAGAAGTATCTTCTATCATTTCTCCCTTTTTTCTTCCTTCCACTGATTCTTCCCACAGATTTCAAGCTTTTGGATCCCAGGAAAAGTCTTTTAGTACAGATTCAATTTGTACTATTTTCTTATGCTTCACCAGCGATAAGAAACAGCAAGCCAATACTTCTATCTTATCCTCCCCCTTTCTATTTTTCCTGCCAAATCATAAGCTAGTGGAGAACAGCATCACATGTCTTTTTCCCATTGTAATTCCTCCCTTATGCAGACAAGTTCTGGGCAGACAGCTCTGCCTCAATTCCCTGTCTTGCCACCCAGAGCAAGGCCCGCACAGCTGCTGCCTTAGCCTGCTTACCACCCAGTTGCATCTGTGCTGTTTTCAGACTGTAATACATTCGCTAGTTCATCCACCATTTTCAGAGCATCCCTATCAGTACAGCCTGCTTGTATGGTAAACTCTATTCATCAAGCATGCACGGCAGCCCATACCACATGGAGGAAGACAGCCACTGGAGGATTCCCTCTAAGCATACTTTACCCTCAGCTTAGGTTCAGTTACATGTCTTACCACCAGATAGAAAGGGCATCATCAGACCAAAGAAAAGATTCCATCCATGTCCAGCTTGGTGAGCCAGTGAGTTTGTTTACTGGAGTTACCTCCTGGAGTAAGGATGATTCTCAGGCCACTGAATAACTGAAAAACCCCTACCTAGCATGCGGGACAACTAGCAAATGCCACATCATTACAGTTGCCACCCTACCTCCAGTAGAGCATAGGACACCCCTTTCCCCAGGACCACATGCAGTTGGGTCAGGATTATGCTAAGCTGGGAAGGGCAATAGGGAGTGAGTGGAGTGGCTGGAATTTCTTAAGAGTGTCTACCGACACCACCCTTCCCCTTACAAGCTTGTGAAGGCTTCCTATGGATAATTACAACTGCCCTGATTTCAAGATGGCATTCACCATGCCATGCCTGGAGAAAAGAATTCCACAACTCCTCTTATGTGGTAGGCCAAGGATATGCTCATTTATTTAGGAAACAAATGGGAAAGACCTGAAGAACTGACACACTCAAAGTCGTAGCTTCAAAAGCGGCACTTCACAGTGTGCAGATGACAGGAACAGTCAGCACCAGAAACCAACTATGATACTTTTGAAATTGCATTGGTTGACTATGAGGCCTTGTGCCTAGACTTTATGGTTTGACTGATGCAATTAATTGGCTTTAGGAACCTGAGTTTCACACAGACATCTAGTTGAAGCTATGACTATTAATTTCAAGAAAAAAGTCTAAATAAATATTTGCTATTTAAAACCACCTGAAGGTGCTTATGTAAAGAAGGCTCAGTGGTTAAGAGCACTGACTACTCTTGCAGAGGATCCAGGTTCAGTTCCCAGCACCCACATGGGGGCTCATCACCACCAATAACTCCAGTTCCAGGGGGTCCGACGCCCTCTCCTGGCTACTGAGAGCACTGCACCTACAGGTGCACTTATATACATGAAGGTAAAACACTCGTATACATAAAATGTAAATAAATTAAATAATCTGGAGATGGGAATAGGGAGATCCAGGAAAACTTGGCAGAAAAAAAGGATGACAGATGGAGAAAACAGATGCATTAGCACCAGAAGAGGCCATCTATTCGCTTTGGGGGGGGGGGTTGTTGGTTTTTTTAAGACAAGACCTCGCTTTGTATTTGCAGGCTGGATTGAACTCACTGTATAGTCCAGAGTAGTCTCCAACTCCCGGCAATCCTCCCGCCTAAGGTTCTCGCATGCTGGGTAGCTTAGCTTTTTTTAAAGTTACTTGTCTCCCTTTACTCTAAGGCTGGCTAGCCACCACCCCGACTTGGCACAGTCCTGGGATTCGCAGTCACTGCAGAGACCAGGGCGTCTCTTGCCCAACCCCCACCCGCACCCTCACTCCGCGCGGGCAGGGGTACGGCAGGCGGCGCAAAACACCCCAAGCCCTGGCCCCAGGCCTCGCGGTTGCGCTTCCTCACCATGGCTGAGATGCAGCGGACACCAGGGCTGCAGGCCGCTCTCCAGGTCCCGCAACGCCATCGTGAGCGCGGAGGTACCGGCCAGCCCAGCACGGCTCAACTTTTGAAGCTCGCTCCCGCGCGCGCTCCAAGACGTGCCTGCAGACCAGTCACAACGTTCGGGACGTGCAATTGACCAATCACCGTGCTGGGCCAAGTTCATTCTATTAACCAATCACCCGGGGCGTCCTCCGCATGCGCAAAAATGGCTGGGGTGAGGCCGGGAGGCTAAACCCGGCTCACGGAGACAGTCTTCAGCTTTCCAGTCAAAGTCAGGGCCAGAAACTAACTTAAACCCAGAGCCTTCGTTTCCGCCCTTTCAGGAAGGAAACCTAGAAGCCCCCGAAGCAGGGCACTTCCTGAAATAACCGTCACATTTGCCCCTATGGAGCGACATTTCGTATGCGTAACCCGTCCGACAGCACCCCAACTTCGTACATATTAGAATGTGAAGAGAAGCTCAGAGTTACCAGGCTAAGTAAAGAAAAAGCAAACAAAAGCACTGTGAGAACACACCTGCAATTCTTAGTATTTAGGGAATGTCTGGGCCCGGCTTCTGCCGGAAAGAAGCCGGAGCTGCCATATTAACTAAGGGAAAGACAAGGCCTCCTTCTACTATACATGCGCAGTTGAGCGCACCACAGGGCGGCCCGAAGGCCAGCGGGAGAGAAAGACCTGCGCGTGCGCGTGGCATCTCCGACGCGTCCGGGCTGGAGCTCTCCGGCCCCCTCCCCCCGCAGCCACTGAAGCACCTCGGTGCGTTGCACCGCGGGAGGCTGGGCAGCTTGCTGCACTGCTGGGCCCTGGACCCCACCCGGTGGGTGGCTGTCCGCGGCTGCTGTCGCCAGCTCTGCACTGCCGGCCCTCGCCTGCTGGCCGCCGCCGGGACCGGTGAGGTGTGGTGCCTGGCCTCCCGGCGCATCGCCGCTCCGGGCGCTGCAGCCCGCAGTCGCCCGCCTCCCCGGGCCCTGCCCCTCCCCCGGGGAGCTGGGGGGTCGGTCTTCTCCCGCCGCCTGGCTCAGGGTTGCGGGGCAGCGGTGCGGCGCGTAGCGCGCTCCCGCAGCGGGCCCTCTGGCCTGCGTCCCCCGAGGGCAGCCTGCGCCTGGGAGGACCGGAGCAGTCTATACCGAGCCCGGCGGGACCCGGCGGGGAGATGAGCTTCTTCGGCTTCGGACAGAGCGTGGAGGTGGAAATCCTGCTGAATGATGCGGAGAGTAGGAAGCGAGCGGAGCACAAGACCGAGGATGGGAAGAAGGAGAAGTATTTCCTCTTCTACGACGGGGAGACGGTCTCCGGGAAGGTGAGCCTGTCGTTGAAGAACCCCAATAAGCGGCTGGAGCACCAGGGCATCAAGATCGAGTTCATCGGGCAGATTGGTGAGTCGATTCCCCGGGATCTCCCCATGCCGGTGCCCGCGACGTCCACCCTGGCCTCCGCGCCGCCAGTGGGGCGGGCGGGGAGCAGAGATTGTGAGGGCCCAGCTCCCGCGAGGCCTGTCACAGGCTCTTGTCAACTGCAGTCTGAAGCCTGGGGTTCAGCCACAAGTCCCACCCGTGGGCCACTCCCCTGCATTAACCTTCCTCCATGCCAAAAGTGACAGCGTGCTGCCAGAGAGGTGGGAACAGCCTGGATGGGAAAGAGCCCCCTGCTGAGCTCCAGGGCGGTCACCTAGCCCCTGGTTACCCCCATTGTCTCCACAGCCTGCTCTCCTTTGCTTCTTACCTCCAGGATTCCAGAGTGAGGTGCTTAGGCCATATTCTGCAGATGGGTTTGTTTGCGGAGACCCTACCCCCCCATTCACTGGACAGCTAGAGCTGTCAGATCCAAAGTTAAGCTGTGCCCCCTTCCACCCCTTTTTCTTTTTAAATGTGGTGTGGGAGTCAGGGCTTACCAGTTCTGTCTTACCTCACCTCCACTCTGAGCTACCTGTTCTGTGCATGTTTTGAAGATCTTTAGCCTGCATTGGTCTGACTGCCTATATTTCCCAGACGTCTTTATTAGAATGCTAGTCTTAAGTTGTCTGGTTTTCTTCTTAAAGTCAAAGACCACGATTAATAAAAGATTACAATTTTTCAGTACTCGGTAATAGTCTCCAAATATGGTTGTTAACCTTATTAGAACTAGACAGCAAAAGGAAGTAACAAAGATTTGGGAAGCTGCCCATCATGACTGGGTTTTCTCTAATTCTAAGTCTTGTGTATTATTAAATTGCTTGGTACTTGTAAAATAAAACTTTTTTGTTTCTTTTTTTTTGTTTTTCAGACAGGAGCTCACTATGTAGCATGGCTGGCCTGGAACTTGCTATGTAGACCAGGCTGACATTGAACGCACAGAGATCCTCCTGCCTCTGCCTCCTGGGTGCTGGAACTAAAGGCATTCACCATCATGCCCAGCTAAAATAAGAGTAGATTTATACTCTGTGGGTTGTGAACATCTCTGACAGAAAAATCTCTACCTTGTACCCCATACTGCACATATGGACACTGATTTTAGAGACTTCCTTGGGAAAAGCTTGTAAACTTTTATACTGAGAGTTCAGCAAAGCCTTTGTGCGCTCCCTTTCACAGAAGCAGGGAACGCTGGGACCCCGGTAGGAGGAACGCTGGAAAAGGAGTCCTAGTGGCCTCATTCTTCAGCCCACCACACAGCCTCAAGCATTTTCCTCTGGTATTTAAAAATACAAAATTCAGCTGGAGACTGGCTGATACTAAAGGACCCTTTTATTTATTTTTAGCCAGGTTTGAAAGGCCTGTTGCTGTGCCAGAAAAGGGAGTGGAGAGTGGGTTTCAGGCTGTCTGAGCTCCTGCTTCTAACTTGGATGGCAGTGTTTCTCAACAGCACTGTTGACTGACATTTGGGGCCTGATCATGCTTCATTGTCCCAGGCTGTTAGTGGCATCCTCAGCCTCCCCTGACCCAAAACCAATAGCATCTCCTACCTTTGACACAATGGTATCATGAGTCCCTTTGGACTATATGTTCCTTTGAAGAATAAAATCAATCACCCCTAGTAAAGAATCACAGGGCAGATTATATAAATCCAAAGCATTTTATGGTAAGTATAATATATGAAATAGTCAAATACTTGCCTACTGAGAATTGCTATTTTTAAGTAGGAGTTTGAAGTTATTACATCAGTTCCTTTCCTTAATACTAGTATAAATAGATTTTTTTTTTAAGTCTGTGTCTATACCTTTGCTCCCAGTATGTAACCCAGCCTGTTCCCTGCCCCAGACAATATGAAATGAGCCATTCTAAAACAAATGAATCATGTCAAGGTCTCTCTCTGCTTATCTAAATGAAGGTAACTGAAGGGGCTGTTTCCTATTACTGGCCCACCTGGTCTCTTGTCTAACTCTTTCATTCCAAGATAGCACCCTTACCAAATTTTCTCAAAACCTTTTTGTTGTTTCCTTGGATATCTCTTCCTAGGCTTCTGGGCACTCTGGGCTGAATAGGTCATGAGACTGACTTTAGGTAGGTTAGGGCCCAGCTTTCTGAGCTGTAAATCAAGAATAATAAAATCATGCAATTATTACAAGATGTTGGAGAACCATTCCTCATGCCAGAGATAGAGGGTTCCTTTATAATAGTAATAGTCAATGTAGTGATGCTTACATTTTACAAATACAGTTCTAGTCACTGATTTACAGCTTTCCCTCCAGACTCTTATATTCTTCCCAGTCAGATTACCATGTGGACTTTCACAGAGAGTATATATTTTAGCTCTTTGCCTTAAAGTTTTTGCTTCTGCTACATGGGCCAGTCACAGCTGCCAGTGGATGTGGTGCTTAAAGTGTATAGTTCACTCTCATTTTCGATGGGTGAGAGAACAGTAATAGAACGATATGGAATTAAGAATTCCATAAACCAGTATGTTTATTTTGGCTTTGAGATGGACTTCTTGATCAAGAACAAGGCATCAAAAAAACCTTTCTAACCAGGTATAATAGCGTACATTTTTAATCCCAGGACTCCAGAGGCCAAGCCAGGAAGATCTTGAGTTCAAGACCAGCCTGGCTGCATAGCAAGATCCTGTCTCAAAACAAAGCCGAACAACAAAACAAAGAAAGGAGAAAAACCTTTCTAGTTTGATATAAAAGGTCCTCTTCTTCTCTCTTCCCTCTCCCCCACCTCTCTCTCATGTTTTTAAAACTGACTAATATTAAAGATGTACCAGCTTATTCAGAGGCACAGAGTACTTAGGCTGTGTCTTTATTATCTTCGTGGCTCCCCCAGAGAAGCAGGGCATAAGTATTGTGTCATACATCTGAGACAGTTATTATGAACTGACTAAAGGGCACCAGAGCGAAGCCAGTGGTAACTTTGCTGAAGTTGCGGTCCTGTGGTTTTCTCCTTCATTGCATTCTTTGAATATGTATCAGGTGGGTGGAACGTCTGTCAGTCTAAGTTCAGACTATATGGGTGGCTGTAACTACAACCAAGACTGAGTTCTGCAAGGATGAACTTCCTAAAAGGCAATTCTCAAATTGCCAGTCCATTCCTTAAAGTTTTTTTTCCCAACTCCCTACTTGTTGGGGGCTCCTTCCTGAGCTTGTCCCAGCCCATCTTTCCAGATTGATCTCTCTCGGAACCTTTACCCTCAGAGATTGTGACTTCCTCCAATTACCCTCTTCTGGCTGGGCATACTGGTTGGCACCTATGATCCCAGCACTTGGGAAACTGAAGGATCATGAGTTCTAGGTCAGCCTGGGCTACCTAGTGAGCCCTTATCTCAAAAAATTAAATAAACAAATAAAACCTTCTGCAGGCTCAAACCCTAGTATTGCCAAAAACATCCTGTTCCTTCTGAAGTTCTGATGTCTTCCCTTTGTATATTAACATCTTTCTGAAAAGTCTGACCTTAGTTTGTATTTTTCTCAACAGCCTACCTAAGCACATCTCCATTCTTCCAAATCCTGGTGGTACTTCTTCCAAGAAGGATGTCACTTTGTTGGTTTATTGAATTTGAGGGGAGTTGTGTTTTTGGTTATCTGTCTTCTTCCCCTGAAGGCCAAGGACTACCTTCGGTCATGACTAGTCCATGGCCAGCACATAGAAGGTGTTCAATAAATCTAGTTAACTGGTCAGATCTAAGATTTTAAAAAACTATTTTCTGGAAATTTTTTTCTGATCTTGTAGAGAAACCAGTTAATTTTTGCAGTGCTGAGGAAGAAACTTAGTGCTAGAGGCATGCCAGGGAGACATTCTGTGGTGGAGCTACCTCCCTAGCCCAGTGGAATGACTTTCATGAAAGAAAGGGACAGCCTAGATCAAGCAACTGGGCTTCCTGAACATGCTTATGCAGCAGAGCTGGCTAGGTGTACCTTTCAGGCAGTGGTACTGAGAACTAAGATGGCATGTGGCTAGTGTGTACCCACCAAAGCAGCCTCCTCCTGAGGGAGTGGGATGTGAAAGCAATACATCTGATGTCAATTTGCTTACTTTTGCTTTCTTTTTTCATCATATTACTATGTCAAATTGAGACTGACCCCTCCCTGTCTGAGAAAAGAAGAGTTGCTAGACCTATGGCCAGTTGGTCCTGTAGCAACTGCTCAGATGTGACAGTTCAATATTGCCCCAAGACAGATAGTAGTTTCTGTTCCTTCATTTAGGTCCTCTATATTTTTGTTATCTTTACTAAGGTTTTGAACTGCATTGGTATACTCCGTATACCTAATGTGCTTTTTCTGATGACTTAGTCTGTGTTCCAGCAATGCCACTAAATGTGTGGTGAGGGAGGTCTTCTGGGTTAGACCCTTGGGGTTGGAAAGCTGGAACAGAATACAAAGAGCAGTGTGAGAATTATATTGTCAGAGAAGAAAAGTCCATATTTTATTTTTGGTAGAATTCTTTGGGAAACATTGATAGAGGCAGACTTGGGAACTTTGGAGATTAGTGGGGTTAAATAAACCAAATATGATTAGAAGGCCAAACTTTCGGAGGTGGGCAGACACAAATATCATTGTATTCTTTAGCCAAATAGATATTTTTTAAAGTTGTTAATGAGCTCATCAGTACCAATAAGCCTGTACTTTTAGAAACTTCAGAGACAGGGCTGGAGAGATGGCTCAGTGGTTAAAAGTATGTGCAGCTCTTCCAGAGGATCCAGGTTCAATACCCAGCACCCAAGTCAGGAGGCTCACAACTACCTGTAACTCTGGCTCCAGGGTGTCTGATGCCCTCTTTTGGCCTCTGTGGACAACCCCCCCCCCAATTCAAAGAACTGATAAATATTTTTACAAAAGAAGAAAGGAACTTTGGAGACTTTCTATTTTAACCGATTAACCCTTGAAATACTAAGTTAAAAGGCATGTTGAGGTTAATAGAATGATTCAGGTGTGCTTACTAAGTTGACAGCAGGGCTTAGAGAGCTGCCCAGAGCAGAGCAGTGTATGGGCAGTCCAGAGGTGTACTTGCTCTCGTGGGTTTGCAGGGGTTAAGAGCTATGAGTGGGCTAGAGTAAGCATGACTCTTGATCAAATTGGCAGTCAGCAAATAGAGGCTGGGAAAATCAGAGGAAAAGAGGTTCTTGCTGGTTTATATTTCTTGCAAGTCTAACATGAAGCCTAGACTATATGTGGTCCTGGTCCAGTAGCAAGTGCCATGCTGCCTGTCACAGAATTAGCCAGTGATGCAGAGCTAGCTCAATTTCTTTCCATTGTGCTAACTTCACTTCTTGGCCGTTGGCAGCAAATTTTACCATGACAACATCCTAAGTGCAGAAATTATTTCCTCCAATTGGATGGAGAAGGAAATTAATGCCAGATATTACTTTTAAAAAAGAACAGAGTGAGGGGTTCAGCTTCTACTTAGAGAAATGAGAGGGCTCTGAGGATGTAGTGGTTGGGATTACTTGTAGTTGCTTCTTTGAGATAAAAGAGAGGCTGTTTTTACAGTCTTTTAAAGGCCCCAGCCTCTTGGTAGAACATTTGGATTTTCTGTCTTGATTTATACAAGATGAAGCCAATCTTTCTGGCAAATAGCAATGTAAGGCTACCATTGTAGCCCTTTTGGTTTATAATGTTTGCAAAAGCATTCTAAGTGACTTATAAAATTATAAATCAAAAAGACTATTTCGGGACATGGTAGCACTCACCTGAAATCTTAGCCCTAAGGGATACTGAATCAGGAGAATCACCATGAATTCAAGACCTGTCTTGGCTACATAGGGAGGCTATGTAAACAAAACAGCAAAATACCATTCTTGCCCTTCTTAGACCACACCACTCTCCCGTGGCATTTCATATAGGCACTGATACTGAAGTGTTGTGAGAGGAAGAGCACTGGGAAGAACTTGATGCTGTATAGGAAAGGACTCCTCCCAAGTCCTCTGCTGGGGCAGGTAGTGTGCTTCTCACCATTGCTAGAATCCTCTGATGCTGGCAGCCTGAGAACACTCTGAACCTTCTCTGTTTTATTTCTCAGGTTGCCTTTGGGCTATGTGATCACTTTTGTGCTTTTTTTTTCCCCTCCTCTTCATCTTCCTTTTGACCCTGCAATTTTCCATCAAAAGTTTATGGATATTGGGGCCTTGCTCTGCCTACTTCTGTACTAGGATCAGAATCCAATTCTTGGGAGCTGAGGTACAAGATTCCCAAGTTAAGGGTCCCGTTCTCACATGGGAACCAGCACCAGGCTAGGTAGCAGGAGTGAGTGGAAGATTTTCTGTCACTCAGGCTGGCCAGGGCTTAGCTTCTACCCTGTCTCCATACGTTCTTTTACTGGGGGGACACAATTGCTGGAGTGCTCACTTTCTCTCCTCCATTGTTTGGAATTGTCTTCTTCCTCTGATGGATTTGTGGGTTATTGCTCACTACCCAGAATGCCAACCACTGCTGAAACCTCTTAGTGTTTGGAAGAGGAAGTGTATTATTTGTAATATAAGACTGATCAAAGTGTAACTTACACAGGAAATCAGCCATATACATTAACCACAGAACACAGTATAAATTTCACTAGAATGGAATTATCCACACTTACCATTTTCATGAGTTGGATAAATGCTTTTTGAGTTTTATTTATTGTTTCATTTTGGTTTTGTGGATTTTGTTTTTTGTCTGTTTGTTTATTTTCAATGCTGGCATCAGACCCAGGGCCTATTCATACATGCCAGGCAAGTGCTCTACCACTGAACTGTACCCCTAGCTCAAGTTGGATAAATCTTGGAACAGGCCACCCAGCTTCCAAATGCCCTCTGAGCTAAGGAAAAGCTCCCTGTGCAGTAGGTATGTCAGGGGAAGCTCCTGGACCAGTGATGGGGGAGATTTTGTACTCAGGCTGAAGAGTACCAGCTAAAATTGTTTCTCTTTTTCTGTGAATGGTCTCCCCAACCTCACCCCACCCTCAGGGCAAGACTGAGGAGTGTGTTGGAACTGGGAAGGCAGAAGATCTAGTTTCTAGGGACCAAGAAGTCTTTGGTCTTAATCAAGGCTTAGATCTTGCGCTGTTGGGGCTGGATCCAGAACATGTACACTGCCTCAAGCACTCAAGTCACACTTGAGAGAGATGATTATTGCTTGTGCTCCAGAGATGCTGAGGACCAGGCCCAGGGGGTGGTGGACCTGACTCAAGCAGCAAGTGTGCACCTCTTGTCCCATTGTCCCAGTTCATCTCCCTCTTGTGGCTTGCAGCATAGCACAGGGCTTGAACTCTGGAATATTTGAGAGGTGAGGCTTAAACTATCATTTGGCATGTATCATCACAGGCAGAATTCAGCATTCATTACTGTCGGGCCAAATACCAGGGGCCAGAAAGTTGGGGATGTAAGCCTCAGCATTAAAGGGCCTGCACTCCAAAGTAGAAAAGAAAGACCATGTATATAATACAACTTAATACTTAAATAGCAGAATGCAAAGAGGCCTAACATTATATAGGACAAATGGTGACCTGAGCTTATATAAAGACTGAGCAGCGGAGTATGGGCTCACATCTATAATTCCAGGACTTGGGAGAGTGAGGCTGAATGATTATAGTGAGTTTGAGGCCAGCCTGTGCTACATAGTAAATTCTAGGCCAGGTTAGACTACAGAATGAGGCCTTTTCTCCAAAAACAAAGGAAAAAGAAAAAGACTAAAGATTATATATGCCAAAACTGCTTCCTGAGGAGGATGAATTTAGAGCCCTGTTTCTCAAACCGTGGTGTGGTAGCAGCATCCCCTAGGAGCTTGTTAGAAAGGCATATTCGCAGGCCCCACCCCAGAGTCTCCAATTAGAATCACTAGGGCTAGGACCAAGCAGTCTGTTTGGATTTGTTGGCTGTGTTTTAACCAGCCCTCCAGGGTGTTCTAATATACACAGAAACTGAAGAACCACTGACTTCCATGGCAGGAATAACAGAACTTCCTTATTAGATGGCTCACATGCCTGCCTTTCTGAGTGACAGCAGCAGCTACTGGCTCTGTTTATTATCTGCCATCTACTAGGCAGAGTTCTAAATCTTTTACCTGCATGACTTCCTCTACTTCTCACAAAATCGTGTGAAATGTGTTGTGCTACTATATACACCATAGCAGATCATAGACATAGTTCAGATGGAGGCTTGCTCTGATCTCAGTCCTGCAGTCTACTTTTTGGATCTAAGTGAATCTTAGAACCATGCTACCCACACCCAGTCTCCTCCTCTTGCAAATAGATGGTAAGGCCTGACCTACCTACCTTGCAAGATTATTCTAAAGATGGTACAGTAAAATACCTGCATAAATCCTTCCAAAAGTTAGAAATGTTAAAAGGATACTCTGTTTAGATATTGATGCCCTGGATACATGGGGAAAAGCTGCTTACTGAGGCCAGCTCAGGCTGTGTTCCAATTATTCTCAATATCTCCTTGCCTTTGGGTGGGGGAGTGCATAGTGGATTGTCAACAGAAGTAATGGCCTGAAGCAAGATCATAGTGTCTTTTCTTTGTATCATGGGTTCGCACTATTTAAAAAGAGGAGGCCTCTGGTCCTGGTGTGCACCTATTCTTCCAGATATTTGGGAGACTGGGGCAGGAAAATCATTTGAGCCCAAGAGTTTAGTGGTTAGACTGGGTAACATAAGACCCTGTCTCAAACAAACAAATGAAACAGGAGGAATCTTTGGAAAAGTATGTTTATGGGAAATTCAGTGAAGGGCCTAAGATCAGGGAAAGAGAAGGAACCTCAAAACAAGACCAGAAGGAATCTGGTTGGGGGGGAGCAGGGCCTTTGGAAGAGTGGCATCTTCATCCTGGCCCCATGTAGTCCAGGTCTGATAGAGGAAACTTTGTTCTCTCTCCAGAACTCTACTATGACCGTGGGAACCATCATGAGTTTGTGTCTCTGGTGAAGGACTTGGCGCGGCCAGGAGAGATTACTCAGTCACAGGCTTTTGACTTTGAGTTTACTCACGTGGAGAAGCCATATGAGTCCTATACAGGGCAGAATGTGAAGCTACGGTAAGTGGTCCCTACTGTTTCCCTATCATGATCCAGAACCTGTCCCATGGGGGCAGCACCTGAAGCTCCTGGCTTTTAAGGGTCTTTATATGGTTATCAAGAAGGAAGAGTATTGCAAGCAGTGGTGTGCTATTAAATGTTTAACATTGGGCTCCCTTAGGGGAAAGCCCCTTGATCCATTGTGGCTAGTGCCCACTTACTAATCTGAATGCAAAAGTGGAAGAGGTACACAGTCACCACTTTAAACACAGTGTTACCATTACACAGACTCCCTGGTGTACATCCCCTCAAGATCAAGAGCCTCATAGAATGTAGGAAAATAATTAGGAAGCAAAGAATACATGCTGCCCTTGTTTCTAATATAATTCATTTAATTGTAAGTTTATATAATTTAACTTTAAATAGTAGCCATTTTTAACAAGCAGTTTATAAAATTCTTGAAAAGTCAGTATTGGCTTTCATAATTGAATTGAGCCTAGATACCCTAAGCTTGGTTTCCAGAGGTACTAACCCCCCATCTAGCTCTGCCACACAATAGCAGTATCATCTTACTCTCTGTAGATCAGCTTTGTCTTTTTGAAAATGGGTACTAGGTTTGGATTCTAGCTTTAGATCTGTCCTCTCCATCTTTTAGAAGTGATAAGAAAACAGTGTAACACAGTATAAAGAAAGTATTTAAAAATTAAACACAAGACTGAGGATTTGGCTTAGTGGTACAGAGATTGCCTAGTATACACAAGAACCTGGGTTCCATCTCCAGAACCACACACAGAAAGATTAATGCACACATTGTTTTTACTGTTGCAGTTGTGGAAACTCTGAGGATAGAGACTGATGCCAGGGCCTCTGGTGTGAAAAAAAGTTCCATAGCAGCTCTAGACTCTTAGATGTGACCCTGAGGTTAGGTAGCATCACTGGGATAAAGCAGACTCATCTGTCATCCTGAACACTTGATCCCAAGTCTTGATACCATCTCATAAGATGAAGTTGTGTTCCTCACCTACAGGCCTTGGCCTTAGGATGGCGAGACTGACACCTCCCTTTGTCCTGCTTTCCCTTCTTCCATCAGAACAGTGTTCGTAGACTTTTAAAATATTTGTCAAGTGGTCTAAGCTCAGACATTATCCCCAGTAAAGACAATGACTTACTGCATCACAGAAAGAAGCGGTGGTGAGGATTACCTAGAAATCACTTAGCTTGGCTATGGGTTTTGTTAAATTTTTTTTTCCCTTGGCCTCAAAACCTCCAGCCTCCTGCCTCAGCTTCCTGAGTGCTTTGATTATAGGTGTGTGCCACCATGCCAGGTAATCTTTTTGTTTTTGTTGTTCAGTAGATTTGCCTTTGTGTTTTTATGTCAAAAAGATACTGAGGCCCAGCTTTGTGGCACACACCTTTAATCCCAGCACTCCAGCAGGAGGAGGACAGTCTCTGTGAGATTAAGGTCAGCCTGTTCTACATAGTGAGTTCCAGGCCAGCTAGGGCTACAGGAGACCCTGTCTAAAAGAACCCCAAAACAACAGCAGCAACAACCTAAAAAACAACAAATGGTATTTAAAATAATAGGGTGGCTCCTCAAAACAAATTAAACAGGGGACTGGAAGTGTAGCTCAGTGGTAGAGTAGCATATACACTTATTTAAAGAATGTCCAGTACACTAGGTTCAATCTCCAGTAACACATACACAATTAAACAGGATTATCATGTGATCCAGCAATTCCACTTCCAGTTATAAATCCAAAACAATTGCACACAGGGTCTGGAACAGATACCTGTATGCCTGTGTTCACAGCAGTATTAGTCAAATAATTAAAAAGCAAAAGTAACCTAGGTTTTCGTGGGTGGATGAATGGATTAAACAGAATGTAGTATAAACATTCAGTGGAATACATGCATATATATATATATATATATTCTGTCTAAAACCTAGATGAACCTTAAGGACTTATGAAATAAGCCAATCACAAAAGATGCTGTAGGATTCTACTTATATGAGGAATTAATTAGAATGATGACACTCATAGACAGAAGAATGCTCTAGCTCTCTAGGCTCTGGGCATGGAGAAATGGGGAAGTTATTCTTTACTGAGGATAGAGTTTTAGTGAGGGAAATAGAAAACTTCTGGAGAATGGAGGGTGGTGATGGTTGTACAACCTCATGGACGTACTTAATGCCACTGAACTATGCATTTAAAATGATTAAAATGAGGACTGGGTGTGGTAGTACATCCCTATAACCCCAACGAGAGGAGGCTGAGGAAGATCTCAAGTTGGAGACACTATCTTGGACGAGTGAAACATTATCTCAAAAAACAAAACAAACCAGGTTAAAACAGTAAATTTGGGGGCTGGAGAGATGGCTCAGTGATTAATAGTACTTACTGCTTTTGTGGAGGACTGGAATTCAGTTCCAGGTACCCATGTTGGATTGCTCACAATCTCCCATAACTCCAGCTCCAGGGCATCTGACACACCCTCTCTGGGCATCTACATGCATGTACACATACAGACACCCATACACATAATTAAAAAAAAAAAAACTTTATATAGTGTTTTGCTTGCATGTATGTAAGTTCATCATGTGTGTGCCATGCCTACAGAGACCAGAAGAGGGTGTTGGATCTCCTGGAACTGGAGTTACAAACAGTTGTGGGTTTCCATGCAGGTGCTGGGAACTGAACCTGGGTCCTTTGCAAGAGCAGCCAGTACTCTTAACTGCTGAGCCATCTCTTCAGCCCAAGTGGTTATATCTTATACAGGCAGAAGAACAATGAAAAGATACCTCTGGACTTTTCTTTTAGAAGATTAAGGTCAATATGCGGCATTGGATGGATGGGATGACTGGAGCAGAGTTGTATTTCAGTAGAGACAATGGGAACAGACAGAAATCAAGCAATTCAATAGACAGTAGCAAGTTTACTAAGAGGGAAGACTTGCAACAGTGGAGGTGGACACTAGACCATCAGAAGAAAGAAACAATTTGAAAATGAAGATAATTTAGCTAATTCTAGAGAGGAGTTTAAAGTACTAACAATATGTAACCATGTAAAAGTTCACCAAATTGGAAATACAGGCCCAGTGCTAAGGACAGGGAACCTAGACTAGCATAGTCCACAGTCCTGAGAAATTATGAAAAGACTAGAGACAAATGTCTTGGTCAGTGTGACTGAAGTTAGTGACTGAGGTGAATAAAAAGGATTGCCTAGCTGGGCATGGTGTCACATGCCTTTAGTCCCAGCACTCAGGAGGTAGAGGCAGGCAGATCTCTGTGAGATAGAGGCCAGCCTGGTCTATATAGCAAGTTCCAGGCCAGCTGGGGCTACAGGGAGACCCTGTTTCAAAAAAGACCAAAACAAACAAACAAAAGGCACCATTGATAAGAGGACTTTCCTAGAAGCAGTTAGTGCCACACAGAGGATTGTACTGTAAACATGTAGTTCTTATGGTTGATATGTCTGTATAACATTTTCCAGTAATGCTTAACAGGCATTCTGGATTATTAAAGTGTCACTGAGAAGAAATTATAATCAAAGAAGTTCTTTCTCTCTTTCATTGGATGTTAGCATAGTATTAGATCCAGGGAACAGGGTGTTGGGAAACAGTGCTGAATGGCTGTTAAACCTTTAGAGTCTATGTATCTATTTCCTTTCAAATCTACCATGCAGCCTTTTCCTCAAGGTTAAACTAGAGATTTCCTTACTATTCATAGAATATGTTGCTTTATGTGAAGGTTTGTTTTTCTTAAAGTACCCTTTTGTCCCCATAAACCTGTATTGTGGTTTCTGAATTGCACTTTCCCTTTCTTCTAATTTTTATATTTATTTTCCATCTCCCTCAGTAGATTGTGAACTTCTCATGAGGGTGTATTTTACTCATGTTATGCCTAGGACAGGGTTAGCTAAATATGATTACTGAATAACTTGATTCCTCCATTTTCTATTCCCCTCTTTTATTGATCAGATATTGTTTAGTGAACAGGCATGCAAATATAAGAGCATACAACAGATATCTGAGCTCAAAAAGCCAGCAGTTAGGGGGCTGGAGAGATGGCTCAGTGATTAGGGCACTGGCTGCTCTTCCAGTGGAACCAGGTTTGATTCCCAGCACCCACAAGGCAGCTAACAACCATCCATAACTCCAGTTCCAGGGAATCCAATGGGCACTGCATGATACAGGTGCACTTTCATATAGGCAGACAATACACCTATACACATAATAAATAAATAAAATAAAAACCCCAGGAGTTAGATATAGAAGTAAGCCCTGCACACAAATATATGGTAGATAGTGGTAAGGCCCTGAAATGCCTTCGGATAACAAGCTACTAGAGTACAGAGCAGAACAATCATTTTTACTTAGACAAGACTCCTAATACTGAGTCATGGGCATCAAAAACTATTTTGGAGGAAGGCTTTGTTCTTCCTAAAATTGTAGTTGCAGTGTTTGTGCACAGGTGTATTTATGTGCTTTTTTTCTGTGAGAAGGACCTCTGAATTCTCAAAGGGATACAAGTCCCGAAAAGGCTAAACTTTACCACAGGGTTCTCTCAAGTGGGCTGTTTTGGTGCCTCTATCTAGGCAGCATCTGGAGTCTGGAAATGTTCACTCACAATAGCTCTATCTCTTATAGGTACTTCCTTCGAGCCACCATTAGCCGCCGCCTCAATGATGTTGTCAAAGAGATGGACATTGTAGTTCACACACTCAGCACATACCCGGAGCTGAACTCATCCATCAAGATGGAAGTTGGGATTGAGGACTGCCTGCACATTGAGTTTGAATATAACAAATCCAAGTAAGTATCCTGGGCCCCAAGATTGTGTGCTAATTATTTAGGGAGGTTAAGACAGATCTTTATCTGAGTGTTTACTGACAGAGAGCCTCATGACTCCACAGCTTCATGGTGACATGCTACAGGGGGCAGACTACATACAGCATGTACGTGTTAGGCTAGGTACAGATAGATGGACTTCATTTTTCACTGTATTAAATTATTTAAGATGACATATTTAACATCCAAAGATGCCTTAAATTTTTTTTTTAGTTATTTATGTGTGTTTTGCCTGCATGTATGTGAGTACACCTGTGTCATGCAGTGCCCACAGAAGCCAGAAGAGGGCATCAGATCTTCTGGAACTGGAGTTATGAACAGCTGTTAGCTTCCATGTAGGTGCTCAGAATCCAACCCTGGTCCTCTGCAAGAGCAGCCAGTGCCCAACCACTGAGCCGTCTCTCCAGCCCCCTAAGATGCCTTTCAAGGTCAAGCCAAACTAGCTTTTAAGTAATTTATTTTGAATGCAGGTATAGCTGTTTCCTTCTACTGATAAGAATAATCACAGAACACAATTCCATTATCATTTGTTTCTTCTATGTCTTTAGAAATGAGTGAGGAAACCAAACACTAGTGATAGTCTGCTGCTTCTTCTCTGGACCAAAATGGATCATAGCAAAGAATACCTGAGGCATTTTTATAAAGGTCTTAAAAATAACCCTAACTGGCAAATTGGAAAGCTATGCACATTTTAAATTGTATTTACCATTAGAACATTAAAGTATATATAAATGCTTGTAAACCACAAATTTTTCTTCCAGTTTTCCTTTCTTAACAGTCTCAAAAGCATCTTTCTTTTTAATATATTCTATTCCTGAAAATATTTGGAGATGAAATATCCAAAAGCAAAAGGCTATTCTATTTACAGAGACTTTTCCACAATCTTTAATTTCTGTTCTCACTATAGTGTCCCTCTCCCAGGCCCACTGTCAGCCAGAGGCTAGGATTTAAGGAGAGCTAATTCATATGATTTGCCTTTGAAGGGGCTAGGAATAGAGGGCTTTATTTATTTTGGTGTAGGGGATTGTTTTTGGTTTCTTGGGACAAGGACTCAGTATATAGATCTGACTGGCCTCAAACTTGTGGTAATCTTCCTGCTTTTGCCTCCCAACATGTGCTACCATGCCTGATGGGAGCACAGTTTTTAATCCAGGAATATACTCGATTACTGGAACAGGTATGAAAGGCAGTTATTTGTTCCTCTGCTCCCTGGACTAGAACCCAGTAGGGCCCCTGTAAAATGACCATTGTGACCTGGAGCCAGTTCTGTTTGGTTTGGCCCACCTGTGGAACAGGAAGTGGGCACTGGGGAGAAGGCACCCCACGCCCCCAGGTTTGGAGCTCTGTGTGGTCCTGTCCACTAATGTCCCAGGCATCTGAATGACAGCAACTATTGGCAGTGCCACCTATTAAGAGCTTGAAACAGTCATTAGGCTGCAGCTTTCTGCATAAGAGGTGTTTTTTGAGCAAGTTACGTGCAGTTAGGAACGGATGCTTCTAGGATGCCCCTCCCCTTGTACAGCAGGCTGCAGCATATGGAAACGTGTGGTTTATATGTAGTAGAAAGAACCCAAGACGTGGAATTAGGCCCTATTCTGCCATTAAGAAGTTTGGCCAAAGTTACCAACATTATATTTTTATTTCTCATCTGAAAAATATGGAGTGTGATCAGTGGGTTTCAGACATACACTTACTAAGTGAAGGTAAAGGAAGATCAGGGGCCATAAGCCTGTTTTCTCAGTCCAACAGCAGCTTCTTTGTGTCTCTCACATGGATGTGCCCCATGTGAGATTTCGTTATGATAAGGAAATGATCCATTTATAAAAGTATAAAAGTATGATAAGGAAATGATCCATTTATAAAAGTATAGAAAACCTTGGAAATCCATTGTCTGTAAAGCATCCTTGAGAAATGCTGGGGTCAGCCTCCTGCTATTCTACGGGCATACAGATGTGCGAGGTTATCTACTCCCTGCCTGCAGTTTTCCCAATAAACTGTAAACAGTGTGGGGAGCACTGAAGTCTGGGAATTATGAACCTCCTCTCTAAATCTCACATCCAGTCAAATGATCTCTTCTCTTCCAATTCCTTTTTTTTTTTCACCTGTCATGAAAGGGGCCCAATTCTGAAGTATCTGTCAGGATTCATGTGCCATTAAGTCTGAGCCTCAGATTTGAAGAGTTTGCTATCTTTATGTCATACCTTATACAGGACTGTATATGCAGACTACCAGCATCATTGTCTGACCCAGAGAGAAAAACTTGAAAGGTTAGAAAGTGTTATGCATCCGGGTGTAGTAGCGCATGCCTTTAATCCCAGCACTTGGGAGGTAGAGGCAGGTGGATCTTTGTGAGTTCAAGGCCAGCCTGGTCTACATAGTGAGTTCCAGGTCAGCTGGGGCTACAGGGAGACCCTGTCTCCAA